TGACGAGATTCCAATTAACGTTAGGTAAGTTAAAATCACCAACAATGCAAGTCTTTAGTTTCAATTTCACAAACAAGGAGTTACAGTTACTAAGAAAACATTCCAATATTTTAAACTGAATTGGTGAAGGAATATAGAGAGCATAAAAGGCAATTGGAAAATAGTTCTTTCCATCTGTAACATTAGAGTAACCCAAAGACCCTCAAATTTACTTTCCCACATAATCATTCTTTTTGACTATAGTCTACTAGATACAGCTATCAATACTCCTCCACCATCCTTATTAGAATGAAAACCGGTAGTTTTACTGTCCCTTCTGTACACTACATATCTGTTATCAAATAGCTCATTATTTATAATCGTATGATTTAACCATGTTTCAGTCAATATGATGATATCATAATCGAAATAGCACAATTTACGGTAAAAATTTAAAGTTTTTGTTCGCAAACCACGTACATTCTGGTAGTAAATACTTAACTGTAAATTATCGTATTTTAGTTAAAAATATTCAACATACATTATTGTTAGATCTATTTATAACTAAGAAGATTATACTAATTTCTCCAAGAGGCTCATGTTTTTGATTAGGTGATAGTTAGAATTGTCATCCTTTCTCATGTAGATTCGTCCATTCCTCACCTAAACGTATTTAAAGTTTATTTCTTTCGCTTTTATCCTGGCGGCTGCATGCAAGGCTTTGTTGGCTGGTGAAAAATGCTCCGTTGTATAAATAGGAATCTTACTTTCGGGGAAACCGAGATAAGTTGAATTAAGCTTGTTGAAGACATCCATTTTATCAAACTTAATCGCTGAAGCCAAGAACTGATCGCGTATGAAAGGTGTTGTAAACTGAACAATAATTGAACGTGGTCGAGGGCTGCTCCGATATATTTTTGCAATGCGTGTACAATTAACAATTTTATCTTCGCTTATGTTAAAGTTAATTACCTTAAATATATCCTTAACAATATTTAACACATTTTCCGACTTCCCTTCTGAAACCCATTGGATTTCTGCATTTGATGATGGTGCACTTTGCTCCAGTTTGTTGATGCGTATCGTTACTTCCTGAACAGCAGATTTTACTTTGCAATTTTCATCCTGAAGCTCTTTATAACTTTTTTCATAGCTAAACTTTCCATTTTACACTCTTCAAATTCAGCGTTCATAAACTCCATAGATTCCTTTATTTTTGATAATTCTTCACTTACACCCTTTAGCTGCTTATTCAATGTGTCCAATACACTTTTACTTATTTTATTATAAAGGCTCTCCATTTCTTTCTGTATCACAGTCTGCACTATTTCTTTTACTTCATCTCTAGTCACTGGGGTATCGCTGCTTTTGCATGGGGGGAATATGCTTGTTTTTTACTTCCTCTGACAGTAATGTTCCTTACTGGCGTATTATCATCCTTCCCTGATTTCGGAGCTTTACTTGTACATAATGGACAGTTCCAACCATATGATGACTCTGTCATGTCCTGATTTTCAGGTAAGGCAAGACAAGATTTGTGATAAACTTTTTTACAATTAGTACAACGCAGGAATGCATCATGAGCAGATCCTCCATCACAACAACCCCATGACAACTTAACACATGAAAGCGGAGTGTTCGGCATCGCGAATTATAAAGTATATAACTATAATAACAAAATTGAATGTTTGCCCACACAAAAATGAAATAGAATTCTTGTAAAATAGAAACAAAATTATATATTAAAATTATTTAAAAAAAAACATACATTAAAACAAAGGATTTAAAAAAAATATTAAAAAGAAGTTGCAGTTTTGATTTTGCACCACTAAGATAACGTTTGAGAGTGTGAAACTAATCCGCCACTTAGTTGCGTTAAATAGTCGTTTAATTTTACACCAGTACGTGATGTTCACGATATTAATATATGAGTCAACGGGTATATGATAGACTTGATCATTTATCAGTCACAAATACCGTCACAACAATTATTAAACACATTAAATATCATCAGTATTTAGACTATATTTTACTTTGCAAATACGTCCATAATTAGCAGAGAGGTTTATAGGCTCTTTAAACTACGACACATATTAAAAATATGCCATTAACCAATTTAAATCAATTTTAAAAAGCTGGGAACGAAAGAGCTTGTCCGCGTGCGCGTACGAAAGTTATCATTAAAACACATGTCATTAATTAAGAAGTTAAGAACAAAAGCTATGGAAAATATACCCTCTATTAGTAGGCAATCTATGGAGGAGGTCCATGTTCAGCAGTGGATTGTTATGCTTTGTATATGTTGTGCTCTATGTAGCATGAGATTTAAGAATTTCTCATTTCGGCTGTATATATTTTTTAAGTATATTCTGTCATATCTTCTCCGCTGTGGACCAATTTTAATGACTTTTATTTAATTAATTTGGTTAAACATTCGGGGTGACGCTTATTATCAAAAATAAGAACATTCGAATGAAATAAATTAATTATTTAAACCTATCAAATTCAAATCATACCACTATTAATTTATATATGTAGTTTTTTAAATTGCTTGCATTGATGAAAGATGTCTCCACTCACTGCTGAGCTGTTCTTGTGACATATTGAATATTCTTTGGTACTGGGGAACACCAGTAATGTTGCTTCCCATGAACCACAAACTTATTTGAGTTCTTCACTTTTATTATAGGCCCGCAATATTTCACTGCTATACATGAGCTTCTCACGCTGTAATAGCAATGACGGCATCCACAACTTTTTCTGCTACCAGCGTGGTATGAATATTTGACAGTTTTCATAGCGGGGTAAGTACATTTGTAAAAAAAAGCGTAGAGATTACTGTTTTTTTTATTTTAATTAGATTAAAAACTGATAAACCAAAAAAAAATATTGTAAATAAACTAAATAATAAAAAATAAATTAATTAAAGAATACACAACTGAGACATTATTTTGAGCATGTACATAAATTTGAAACCGATTTTTTAAATAAAACGCTATTTTTCACTGAAGATCACTTTGTGTGACCATCAGCTTAACAAATATCTTCACCTTAGTTCCAACTAGCGACATCTAGTAAGCGTAAGAATATTAGATCTCATTAAGTCTAATTGGGAGAATTTAGCTTAATATGAATTATCACGCTTGGCCGGCGGATTGATGCTAGCATTACATTGTTGCTCTCTGGTAATTTACGTCTGGAGTAAACGACATGATAATACCGCCATCTAACGGATGCCATAAAAATCGGGCATTCCTGATAGTCGCCTCGTATGACACCTACGGGATGGAAACGGGTGATGGATTTTCACACAAGGATTTTTGACTGTAGTATTTTAAATATATTTTCTCATGAAAAATAATCTAGTCATCTATTTTAACTTCATTCCATTGGAATTGTTTACAAGAAAATTAAATTGACTGAAAGCAAAAGACACTACAAAAAAGGACATATCATGTATTCCACTCCAATTGCGTTTCTGAGTGTAACACCGGAGTTCACTTTTGACTGCACTCCAATGTTATACGTAATATTTAAAACTAAGTATTCGTGAGTTGACTATGAAAAGGAAAATATTTTATAATAAACTTAAGTATGGATTTTAAATATGGATTTAGAAAATACTTATAATGCTGAGTATTTTCCTTCACTGCCTTTTCCCCTTTCAGTGGAACCTCATTTTAAAATAATCAAAAAAATGAATTCTGACATATTGATTATTTAATTTCTTACATTTTTTAATGGAATACGGGTTTTCCAGTTTAACCCCTAAAAGACACATATTTTCGCATTTTCCGTTAAATAGTAATATTATAACCTTTACGTATTATCTCCTTAACTTCAGGGTACTCCTCTTACTTTCAATAGCTACTCCGCCATTACTTGGTAGGGAATCCTAAACTGGCATCATACAAGCTTGGTACGCTCAGTAGATCGAAAAGGTATTTCATGCTGGAAGCACTTTCACATATACAAAGTGCAGGTTCAACCTCATATAGAATATTGTTTTCATCTTTGGGCCAGGGCACCCCAGTATCAACTCTTTCAACTAGACCGTATTCAAAGAAGAGCGGTCCGAATCGTCAACAATCAAGTTCTTTCCAATCGGCTTGATCCATTGGGCTTACGAAGAGACTTTGCATCTCTATAAATCATATACCGCATATACCAAGAATCTATAGGCTCCTAGCATTGAAGCATAGCGAGATTACATCCTATGGTACATTAGGCATACAAAAGGCTTACATGAGGTAGGATTCCTGTTAAAGAAAAAAACATAAACATATGACATCTAATTTCACAGGGATCTCTGAAAGGATTGCTCTACCGCAACTATTACTAGTTAGTCGGTTACCCGAAGAATTTAATATATCTATGATCCAGGCATATGCACCAAAAGAGGCATCGAAAGAAGAAGATATCGAGACCTTTACAGCGATATGGTAAAAGCACACTCTTTAGCAAACAATATAATAATATTAATGGGTGACTTTAACGCCAAAATACGGTGGCTTAAGAAAGAAGAATGCTTGTGTATGGGTGCTACGGTGCAGTGAAAGGGGCGAAAGACTAATAAATTATGCTCTCGAACACAACTTGTTAATTATTAAGATATTCTTAAAGAAAAACGCCAAAGGAGATGGATCTCGACGTCACCTAATCAGAAGATCAAAAATGAAATCGATTTTATTTTAACTAAGAAACCTAACAAGGTAAGCAACATTGAAGTTCTAAACCAAGTCAAATTTACTTCGGACCACAGATAACAACGAGCTACGTTTCATTTATACCAAAAAAAGAAGCAGAAAATAATTTCTAACTTCAATAAAAAAACCAACAAAAGATTACGAAATTAAAAATTACACTGAAAGCCTGAAATCCAATTACGAAGACAATATAACTACCACGCCTGAGAGTGTTCAAACCATCTATGACTTGCTTGAGGAAAACATAATATTCAGCTTAAAGAATAATAAAGACAACGACATTCAATACTTAGCAAACGTACAAAACTAATAATTATGAAACGGGCAGAAATAAAATACCCAAAGAATAAAAACAAAGAAAAGAAAAATGAACTTACCAAACTCTTTAAACTCATCAATAAATCTATTAAACTCGACTACTTTAAGCGTAGAGAAATGATTATAACAACAAATATAAATAGCTTTGAAAGCACTAAGAGAGCCTTCAAGGAACTAACTCTTCAAAAGAAAAGGATACAGAAACTCGAAAACAACTCTGAAGAGAATAATTTAAGAAAAGATGTGATAGGCCACGCTACCAAATTTTATAAACAACTATACAAAAAGAAGGAGAAGACGAGAATGCATTGGAAAAAGAAATTGATAATAAATCTAGAGTAAATACAGTTAAACCGATAAAAGAAACAGAAATACTCTCGCATATAAAAATACTAAAATATTAAAAAAGTTCAAGGCCTGATGGGTTAACAAATGAAGCCCTTAAATTAGGTGCCCCTCATCTTACTTGGATACTTAAGACACCTATTTAATATGATATTAGACAGAAAAATGGTGCCAAAGCAATGGTGTACATCTGATATTATGTATTAATTTATAAAAAAGGAAACCCATTAGATATAGGAAACTTCAGACCCATAATTCTACTGACAAGTATGTACAAGTTATTTTTATCTATCATACTAAAATTAATTACAAAAGAAACTCACGCTTCTCAGGCAATAGAATAAGCAGGTATTTGCTCAGGATTCAGCACAATTGACCACATACGAACTGTAGAACAACTAATAGAAAAATACAATGTATTTAATAAATCTCTGTTCATCGGCTTTATAGACTACCGCAAAGCTTTTGACCGTATCAACTATGGTTTCATCTGGAATTAACTACGTCAAATATAAACGATAAATACACAAAAATCATAAAATATATATACGTAAATAGTATTAGTAAGATTAAACTTGAAAGGAAGGGTGACTAAATAAAATAGAAAGAGCAGTCAGGCAAGGCGATCCATAGTCGCCGAAACTTTTCATTGTTGTGTAGGAAAATATATTGAAAAAGTTAAATTGGACAAAATATGGCATTAATATTGATGGCCGTCGTTTCAATCATGTAACAGCTAAACAACTTAAGGATTTGCTGTACTCATAATACCAAGAAAGTTCAAAAGTAGGTTTGGAAATGAATGTAAGCAAGACTAAGATAATGACCAACAGTCACAACATACCCATAAACGTAAAAGGAAACAATATAGAATACGTAAAAACTACATTTACTTGGGGAAACAAATATCCTTAATGAAAACTGATAACAAAGATGAGTTAGAACGAAGAAAAAACATTGCATGGAGAAGGTTTTGGTCACTAAAAGAATTGCAGTATGAGAATACGGCTGCCGAACTTGGACATATACAAACAAAGTGAGAGAGAAAATATATACAAAACGGAGAGCAATGAAAAGGAGCATCATAAATATAAATAAAATACATGAAGTCAAAAACAACATAATAAAACAAAGATCATAAATAACAGATCTTAAAGTGGAAATAGGCAGTACACGTCTCACGATACCCAGATAATAGATGTACAGTACAAATCACACGATGGAAGGGACCAGTATCTGGCAAATGGAAAGTTGGAAGATCACGTAAACGGTGGGCTGTTGACATAATACAAAAAAATATTGCAGGAAAATATTGGATGAGTAAAAGTAAAAACAAAGAATTGTGAAATCAGATGGAGGAGACTTTTACTCAAAATGGGATCCATATCTCTGAAAATATACACAGTTAACCGTACAAATAATAACTAATATAAAATAAGCTAATAGTACTAACAATAAGTACTAAACAACATTGAAATGTAAAATGTAGAAACGTAGTGGTAAGGAATAAAGAGGTTTTATCTATACCACGAGGAGTGCTCAGAGGAAGTTTAGATTAATTCCATCTGCTCAGTTCTACTATCGTACACTGCAATAGAACTTAAAACTCCGTCCTCATCATCACTGGCTATGGCAGGTGGTCCAAAACCATGTGATTTATGCGGAATTTTCTGCCTCGCACGACTATACTGTGTACAACTTAGAGACCTTCAAGAAAAAAGCTTACTCCTTTTAAAAGGCCGACAACTCTCCTGCTATTCCCCTGGTGTGTCAGATGTTTATGGGCAATTGTGATCACTTATCATTAGAGAGCCGCATGCTGTTTGTAACCTCTGCTGTAAAAGAAACAAAAACGGACATTCGAGGAAGCGCTGAAATCTTAAATCAGGCAAGTTAAAAGTTGTTACGAACGGTGATTCACCTAAAACGGTTCGAACTACATTTTAAAATTCAAACCATAGACAATTTGAATTTTTTCAGTGAATTAAAAATATTTTTAAATTTATTTGGTTTTAATAACTGCATTCAAACTTTAATTACTTAATTAATAAACTCACTTTAATTAGTCGATACGACTACGTCGTTATATAATGTACTATATCTCTTTTCGCATTATATCAATGATTTCTATCGTTAGGGAACTCGAGTTTCAATATTGCATTAAAATGCAATCTAGTAGCCGTCACGTTTCAAACAACAGCGTGGCCAGCAGCTGGCCTGTGATGTAAAAGGATTGATTAGCGTTTACTGAGAGTGTAAATGAAAAATTATAGCTTGTTGTTGGTCGTATATGATGTACTTACTACAATTTTGGGTCGATGAAATCCCTTTTTGATCTACTTTGACTTAACCTAGTAATTATTTTTTTATGTTTCTATAAGCGACCGTTACTAATCGCGGCTAGCTAGTACTATGTACCGATTGGTATTTCTTTGCAATTTGTGTTCCTTGTTTTACTCTACTTATTCATTCTACGTACTCCGTTCCGATACTATTATTTTAGTCTAAGTTTTATATTGAAAATACTTATTATCTAAGTCGGTTTTAATTTCGACTTCAGTTGCTAGTTTATTCGAACTGAATTGATACGATTTCTCAATCAGCCTCTAATATCAAAATTAATTTAGTATTATCTGTCTGCCAGTTTGGTATAATGTAGCGTACTCAACGAATGAGGTAAGCAAGGAATGTTCTGCATTTAATCTTCATGCCAGATATAATGGTGGATCACAATAACTGTAACTGATCAATTTGAAATGCATTTGCGACGACTCTATTATTTATTCTTTGTTTATTTGTCATTAACTCATTAAAAATCCATGGTAGCTCAGGGGCTAAGCGCCCACTGTAAATTTCATAGTACGCAAGCACACAGGATTTGATTCCCGCCGGCACCAATGAATTGTTAATTGCAATTGTAAGTGCTGATTTATTACGTGCTTTAATTGAAAAAAACTTAACAGAATTGTCTAAAACGATCAGAAATCAACTTTAATATTACTTTAATTTTTAGGTATTGGTACTCAGGTATTATCGTAAAAAGTAGTATTTTTTACCTGACTCGTTATTAAATTCTTTTTCTCATCAACTTTATTTAGTTTTCAAAAAGTTTTTCACCTAGTCATAACCATTATTTTAATTTAGCATTCACCATAGAATACATTCGGGTCACTCCATAAATTATAAGAAATATAAGTATATTTATATATAAATCCAACTTACTTTTAGCGAAATAATATAATGTAATGAAAATCTGTGATTATAAAAATAATATCTTATTTTGGTCAAGTTTGTATCAAATTTGGTTTTTGGAATATTTTGTATTTCTACAACGATCGATATTTTAAATGTGAGTCGCTGTAACAAACGACACAGTTACCCACTCACGACGGCGGCTGAGCCAGCAGTGATTCAAAATGTATCTGTATTTTGTAAAATAATATATTTTTCCACAGCAGGTTAAGCATTGAAAATTTCTGATTTTCTAAACCGAAAAAATTAATTATAACTAAACAAAACAAAATTAAACAGCCATTTACATTCCATGGCTTCTCACATGACAGATGAATAGATTAAAATATAGATTGAGTTGAACAATATTTTCAAAAGTTATCGTGTTTACCCCCTTCATGCAGACGTTAATAAGCCACTAAAACCACTTTTTTAAATTTTGTTTTTTAACATGGTAAATATAGCAATTTTTTAAAAAAATAAGTTCAACAATCATTTATTTTTCTGACAATGTGCTTTTTATATATTTTTTTAATATGATTGTTAGATACGATTTTATGCAATATCGAATTTTTTCTTTTACCCCTGGTACAAAAAGTCCGCATTTTACCCAGTGGGACTTTTTCCGCAGTAATATTATACGATATAGAATATTTGTTAAACTGTCCATAAAATTACATATAAAATATCAAAAAAAAAGAGTATAGAATGGAAATAATCGAAAAGAACCTGACCATCGCCAAAAGAAAGCCCACAAACAACTAAGTACTCAGAACAAATGAGTTATCCTTTTATTCTCAGTAATAAAAGCACTGAATGTAACAGACAAATTACAAACGCGAAAGGACTTAATAAACATTGTTTCGGATTTTCGCATATCGATATTACGCAGTCGTGCAGTGAAAATATAATCTATATCTCTATGTTCATGTTGCAAAAACTCTTATATAATATTATTGTCATTTAGGGGTGAATGCAATCAAACGGCGATAGTGGGTAATAATAGCCTAAATATTCTTAAAAATGTATTCAACACCTCGATTAAACATCAATCACGCTTGTTATTTCTAATGCCGCACGAATTTGATCATAAAAAAAAACATACCTCGGCTCTATAAGAGATCGAATTCAATCAGAAGTACTGCCCTATGAAAAAACTATTTTTTTCGTTTTAAACAAAACCAAAGACAATATGCAATAGATAACAGTATCAAAGACAAAGATATGCTCTTTTATTTTAAACCATAACCTAGCAATGTTTCTTAGAAAAAAAAAAAGAAATCACTGAACTTTCGGCTTTCCACGTGTCGCTTTGATGAAGGTGCTCCGTCTTTTTTATAGAATTTTATATTTGTGTCTGGACTAAAAACGAAAGTATTATACTTTTTTGTATTCCTTGTAATATAGTAAACACGTAGATATATAATTTGTGGTATAAAAAAGTGAAAAGTAAATTGCCAAAAGTACTTCGAAATCCGGAAGGCCCATTTTGGCGGTTGGGTCAAAAATGTGTTATTTTTCAAATTCTCATTTATTTTTAGTGTAAAATGTAAGTAAAAATAGTTTTCTTACATATTTCAAATAACTTGACGTTGTATTTATTTTAAATTCACACAAAAATATTTTTGAAATATTGTTCGAAATGTCACAGATAAATAGGTATTATTATTTTTCATTTTTTAATATTTTATTATTTTGGTATGAGTAACGAATAGAAACACATAAAACATAAAAACATACGTATTTACATACATTTTCATAAAAAT